GAGAAGACAAATGTAATCTGAACAATAAAGATTTAATTAAAAAAATAATAATTGGCACTAATTGTTCTGGGGTTTACATTCTGATGGGGAGGCAAGGCACGAGGAAGAGAAGTAGGTGGTGTGTTATCCACACAGCACCGGAAGAAACATTGCTGTGAATGCGGGAAGGTCTGGGGGGAGAGGCAGGTAAGGTCTCAACAAAAAGCTGCCATTCAATCAACCAGCTATCACCTCTTGAAGGTGGGGCGTGAGCCATGTGGACCTGGGGGAGGACAGGGAGTGTGCAGCGCAGGACACAGAGCAGCGGCGTGGTGGGGACAGAGAGCAGAGAGGAAGGGGAGGTGCTGAGAGAGGCAGGCCACGCCTGTGCGGGGTGTGTGGGTCCTTGTGGCCGCTCTCAGGATTCTGCTCCCGCTCTGAGATAGAAGCCATGGAAGGAGGAGTGGCATGAAATGGCATATCCTAGGACAGTGATGGCGAACCTTCTGAGCTCGGCGTGTCAGCATTTTGAAAAACCCTAACTTAACTCTGGTGCCGTGTCACATATAGAAATTTTTTGATCTTTGCAACCATAGTAAAACAAAGACTTATATTTTTGATATTTATTTCATATATTTAAATGCCATTTAACAAAGAAAAATCAACCAAAAAAATGAGTTCGCATGTCACCTCTGACATGTGTCATAGGTTCACCATCACTGGTCTAGAGACTCACAGTGGCCACTGGACTCAGCATGGATGGAGGAGCGAGAGGGGAAGCTGGGAGGAGTGGGGTTACTGTGCTCGTCCGGGTAACAGGCCATGGATGCTGGGACATCCCGAGATGAGAAGCTCAAGGCCATCTAACGAGAAACGGTGAGCTGGGCCTTGACTCAGAGAGAGACACCAGTCCTTACTGGGCGCTCGCTTAAGAATCTTCCTGTGAATAAAATCTGGAAGCCACCGTGGAAGCTCCCCTGTTGAGGAAGGTTATAGAAAGGCTTGTGGGTCTCCCCTTGCCGCCTTCTCACTGAATGGAAGTCGGTGGCTCTTGGCCGAATGCTGATGCCCCATGCTGGGTGTGTGTTCAGAGCCGAGAGCATGTCCAGTCTGCTGGTGTCCAGTCTCAGCACAAGGCTGTCTTCCTTGCCTCCTCCTCATGGCTGTTTGGATGCTTAACAGGCACCCCCTTCCCCGCCTGCGGAAAAGCTGCCTCACTGATTGATGGCCCTTTCCTTTGGCCAGATTACTTGTTGCATAAATAATTTGATTGATAGCTCTATCTTTTAAGGTCATATTATGATGGCTATCTAAGCTCCTGTATGTATTTTCACAGATAGAAATCCCGGGAGAGGACACCATCACTCTCCACATTTCGCACATGTGGGCCTTGGGGCCTTCAGACTCACGCCAAGTTACAAGCAGCGGGCGGCAGAGCTGGGGTCTGAATCCTGCGACTGGACTCTCGAGTCAGGTCCCTCAGTCACAGCAGGCGCTCTGTCTCCTGCCTGCGTAGCACATTCGCTTACACATTCCTGCCAAGAGATTCAGGACGCAGAATTGGTCCTCCAACCCCCTTTCTAAAGGAGACTAAAGTCTGTGTTTATTTTATCTGCCAGTGAACGGCTCCAAGCATTGATAGAAATGGAGTGATCTCTCTTCGGACTAATTTTGAGAAAATGATCTCAATGTGAATGATAGTTACAGACCAGTGACTGGTCATTGCTTGGCCCTTCCCTTCCCTGTATTTCTCCTGGTTAGTTATTTTCTTTATAAAATAGTGTCACTCAAGAAACGAGGACTCTTTAAGATGGCCGTGGAAACGTGGAGTGGCTGGTCTGTCTCGTGAAATCACTGCTGCCAGTGAGGTATCTCCTGAGGCAAAGCTGGACACGGAGCCAGACTCAGAGCCCACGCCCCACGTGAGAGGGTGGGGTGGGAGAGAGCACAAACCCAAAGCCCCCAGGGCTGGCCTGGCTCACTCACTCACAGCCGTGGCTCTCTGGAGTAACAGAAATCTGTTTATGGTGAAACTGCTTAGAGAAGAGGCAAAGGAAGCATAACGAGGATTTCTATTCATAGAAGCAACCACTGCCCAACAGGGAGCACCTGGACAGAGAACTCCCAACAGGGGACACGAGGGCAGAGAACTCCCAACAGGGGACACGTGGGCAGAGAGCACCCAGCAGGGGACACCTGGACAGAGAACACCCAGCAGGGGACACCTGGACAGAGAACACCCAACAGGGGACACCTGGGCAGAGAACACCCAGCAGGGGACACCTGGACAGAGAACACCCCACAGGGGACACCTGGACAGAGAACACCCAACAGAGGACACCTGGACAGAGAACACCGAGCAGAGGACACCTGGACAGAGAACACCCAGCAGGGGACACCTGGACAGAGAACACCCCACAGGGGACACCTGGACAGAGAACTCCCAACAGGGGACACGTGGGCAGAGAGCACCCAGCAGGGGACACCTGGACAGAGAACAGCGAGCAGGGGACACCTGGACAGAGAACGCCCAACAGGGGACACCTGGACAGAGAGCACCCAGCAGGGGACACCTGGACAGAGAACACCCAACAGGGGACACCTGGGCAGAGAACACCCAGCAGGGGACACCTGGGCAGAGAGCACCCAACAGAGGACACCTGGGCAGAGAACTCCCAACAGGGGACACGTGGACAGAGAACACCGAGCAGGGGACACCTGGGCAGAGAACACCCAACAGAGGACACCTGGGCAGAGAACAACCAACAGGGGACACCTGGACAGAGAACACCCAACAGGGGACACCTGGACAGAGAACACCCAAAGACAGCAGGGCCAAGGACAGTGTTTCCTGGCCAGAAAATGTTCTGACCACTCCCCAGGTCACTGTTGTCCCATCCACTGGTTACTACTGTTAAGTACACACATAAGACCTCGAGCTACTAATATATATAACTATGGGGGATGTGTGTGTTGGAAAAAAGCATTTTACATTATTGTCCTTTTTTTTCTTTTCTGCTGAGCATATTTTACTGTTGGGGAAGTGGCTGTTTCCAGGAAATCTCTGCTTGTGTCCCCTAAAATCAGACCATATGAGTCATAACGCTCCCCCGACATCTCGGAACCATTTGATTCCCACTGCTAATTTTAGATATTGCCTTAAGGAAATGTCACTGCCTTTCACTTCCGTGCACCCCAACAGACCAAGAAACCAGCAAAGAGTAAACACACACACATGTGCACACACACACACACAGCACACGTCTATACGATTAGCAGGTAGATATTTATCTTTCAACATGTGCAGGGCACCTGTCCATGCCCGGGGAACTGTGGACACAGAGGTGACCACACCCACATGTAAACGAGCTACTGTACATACCAGGCGGAGCATGTGGCCTGGCTGATTGGAGGTCAAACAAGGTCAGCAGCTCCAGGTTGGTGGGGGCCCAAGAGGGCAAGGCTCCAGGTGTCCGAGCTGCATGCACTGGGGCCAGGATTCGTTTCAGGGAAAGGAGGGGATTCGCGGGGCTGGGCCTGGGAGGAGCCCATTCATCCCCTTTGAAAGGCTCTGAATTTCAGGAGTTTTTGGATTTATACTACATCCATGTGGACATCTCATAGGAAGCTCTGAAGATAAATGTGAACTATTTGATCGACTGTCAATTCTTCCTTTTCTCCTTCCAGCAGCACGCTCTTCCCTTTCATATTCTTGCCTATCTCTATTTCTCTTTCTTCCATGCCAGGATGAGGCCTGCCCATCGGCCCCTTGTACAGAGCCCATCACCCACCCCTCAGGCTCCCCGTCCCACTACCGAGTGCTCCATCACTTGATGCCTTGCACAGGCCAAGAGCCCACCAACTGAGGGAAAATGTGAGGTCGGGAAAGAGTTCGCGTCCGATGGTGTTCTCTGTCCGATTTCTCCTAATCCATGGAGAAAACCCGGACTTTGCCTAGGAAAGGGCAGCCTTGAACCCGAGAGCCACCTTTAAACGTTCTGCCAACATAGGAGAGAAGCTGTGCACACAATGCCAATCTCCTCGGTGCTGAATGGTTTTCTCTCTTAGTTCCATAAAATTAGCAGAACTTAAAGAACAACAGATGACTCACTAGGCCCCACACAGCTCAGCGCACATTCAGGAGGCGCTGCCCGAAAGCCTGGCCTGAGGGACATGGTGAGTGAGCTGGAAGGAGTCAGCAGTCACCTCCCGGCTCTGGGAAATGCAGGGAGGTGATGGCAGTGAGGGGCCTGGTTTGCCCGGGCTCTGGTGACTTCCTCTCCCCAGAGGATGCTGCCAGGAAAAGAAGAATGGTGATTTACATACCACAGCAGGGCTAATCCACCCCTAGCCTCTGAGTCACAGCCTGCCAGCTTGAGACATCCCGGGAAATCCCTGCTTGGAAGAGAGGAAACGTTAAAATCGCAGTTGCTGGGCTTGTAACCATTCTGTGCAGCTCACGTCCTGGGCGCCCTGTTCCCTTGTAAGGACGAGACGCTGCCCCTGTTTTCCACGCTCTGTGGGCTTTTTGAAACTTTGAATGCTTGGCCTCCCTTGAAACGACACCTCAAGAGCCATTTTCTCTCTTCTTTTCCTTCTGCTCTCCAAGACACCAAGACAGACAGCCCTGCTGGCGCACCCTGAGCAGGGCACGTGGAGAATGAGCGCTGCGGAAGGCGGCACGGAGCCCGCGGAGGTAAGAGCGCCCTCGGGGAGGTGGGCACCCCCGGCCCACAGCATCTCTAAGGGTGCAGAGATGAACGGGAGTGGACACAGCCAGGCTGCTCTTCAGCTAAGATCCGCTCTGCATTTTAAACAATGCAATGCAGTCAAGAAACGAGAGCTGGGAGACATTGCATTGTCTTTGCCACCTCTGGGCTATATTTCGTCCTTTGCTTAGTAAGAGAATAAATCTGGCTACTTCCCAAGTCGATGCGCTTCATGTTTGGCTCTTGATTTAGAAGAATGTGATTCAATGTAAAATTTAAAAAGGATATTATATTAATGTGGTTAGAAATACAATGTATTATTGCAATAGAGTAACCATAGTAAAATATTAATATACTAGAGGCCCGGTGCATGAATTTGTGCATGGCTGGGTCCAGCGGTCCCGATGGGGTCCCATCAGGGGCAGGGCCAGCTGAGGGGAGGGGCTTCAAGCAGTTGGCTGGCCACCCAGCCCCTGATCGGGGTGCTGGGGGCCAATTGTGGGCCAGGCTGGACATGGGGAGGGCACAGGAGGGCTCCAGGGCATATTTATCCCATCCCACTCAGTCCAGATTGGCCTGACCCCAGCAGCAAGCTAACCTACCAGTTGGAGTATCTGGCCCCTGGTGGTCAGTGCACGTCATAGCGAGCCGTTGAGCGGCCTTAGCATATCATTAGCACATTATGATTTGATTGGTTGAATGGCTGACCGGACGACAGGACACTTAGCATATTAGACTTTTATTATATAGGATATATTTGGAATTAGTACCGTTGTCTTTGTTTGGTTACTGGTTACTACGACAGATACTATTTGAATGAATGAATGAACGAACGAATGTGCTTTCTTGATGTGTTTTTTAAAAGAGATAACCAAGACATCATGGGAAACTACGTGAGACTCATTTGCTCACTTGGGTATGTAACTGAGCAGCGTCAGACCTGCCTGGCGCAGGGTGGTCTTGTTACTGTGGTAAATGAGAGGGAAACACCCCGATGCTCCGAATGGATTACATTTTATGGGGGGTCCTTGTCACATAACTGGGCCCTTAGTAGGACCAATGACAAAAAATCTGCACTTCTTGCAATATCAGATGCCTTCATTAGCAACTGGATAGCAAAGCAAATGTAAATGAAAAGATCCCCGAAATGTTGTTTAATAGGATTTGCTTCATGTGAACACATGCCTGAGACATAGGAACCATGGCAAAGTGTTGGCTAATCTCCAGAGAAGCTTCTGGTGATAATTTATGCTTGTAAGCCATTCCTGTTCCTGTTCTCTCCCCCTCCCTCCCTCCCTCCTCTCTCTCTCTCTCTCTTTCTCTCTCTCTCTCTCTCTCTCTCTCTCTCTCTCTCTCTATCTTCCTTTGTCCCCTCTCTCCTTTCTCTCCCTCTCCTTCCCAGAACTGTATCTAGCTTTTCAATTACTCTTATTTATAAAATAAAAATTAAGGATCCATATATTTCATATTTTTTCAGAGAAAATTATATGTGGGGGGGAAAGAATGCACACCATCTGATTACTCTTAACCCAGATTCCCAGAAGGCAGGGCCATACAAATGTTTGCTGATCCCAGACTTTTTCTATATCACAGATAGAGAGGAGACCCGTAAAGATCCTAATCCATGTTCCTGGGCATGGTGTGATATGGGAGAACCTGGCACGTTAGTATGAACCCATGTTCCAGGCATGGTGTGACATGGGAGAACCTGGCACGATAGTATGAACCCATGTTCCGGGCATGGTGTGACATGGGAGAACCTTGAACGTTAGCATGAGCCATGTTCCCGGGCATGGTGTGATATGGGAGAACCTGGCACGTTGGTATAAACCCATGTTCAGGGCATGGTGTGACATGGGAGAACCTGGCACGTTAGTATAAACCCATGTTCAGGGCATGGTGTGACATGGGAGAACCTGGCACGTTAGTATAAACCCATGTTCAGGGCATGGCGTGACATGGGAGAACCTTGAACATTAGCATGAACCATGTTCCCGGGCATGATATGACATGGGAGAACCTTGAACGTTAGCATGAACCATGTTCCGGGCATGGTGTGACATGGGAGAACCTGGCACGTTAGTATAAACCCATGTTCAGGGCATGGTATGACATGGGAGAAACTGGCACGTTAGCATGAGCCATGTTCCTGGGCATGATATGACATGGGAGAACCTTGCACGGGCATGGTGTGACATGGGAGAACCTTGAACGTTAGCATGAACCATGTTCCCGGGCATGATATGACATGGGAGAACCTTGCATGTTAGCATGAACCCATGTTCCCAGGCATGGTGTGACATGGGAGAACTTGGCACGTTAGCATGAACCACGTTCCGTGCATGGTGTGACATGGGAGAACCTTGCACTTTACTATGAATCACGATGACCTGTGGGATTTGTGTAAAATAGAGGTGGATAAGTAGGTGGGACACAGAGGAATTTGGGGCAATGAAACTACTGTGATGCTACAGTGATAGACACCTGTCACTCACTCTGCATCTGTCCAAGCCCATAACGTGGGAAACACCAAGAGGGGACAACGCTAACACACACCATGGCCTGGTGGTGATGATGTGTCCGTGCAGCTTCACCGGTGTAGCAGGTGCCCCTCGGGTGGGGTGGTGGGGAGCCTACACGCGTGTGGGGGCAGCAGGAACATGGGGAATCTCTGCACCTCCCACTCAACTGTGCTGTGACCCTGAACTGCTCTAAAAATAGTCCATTAGAAAGAAAGTAGAGCTGCCCTGGCTCCGTTCCAGAACTGCTGGCTCAGTGCCCGGGTGCCCTGTGGTTGGCTGGCTCCCACGTGACCCGTGGCTGTGTGAGAACCTCGGGCCTGGCATTGGCTGTGGCCCCTCTGCTCTGTGAGCTCAGGGCACACTGGGCAGGGCTGGCTCTCAGCCTGTTCCTTCCAGGATGCCCAATATTTACTCTGGACATCTTCCCCCAAAGGGAAAGCCCGAATGCAGCTCCCGGCACACTTATCGCCTGGATTCTGGGGCCACTCTGGCACTGCCAGAGCCACCTGCAGTCAGAATGTCGCTTTTAATCTTCTTTCTGTTAATCCTCACCCAAGGTTCCCCCCGCCCCCATTGATTTTTAGAGAGAGTGGAAGGGAGGGAGACAGGCACACAGAGAGAGAAACATGGATGTGAGAGAGACACATCATCTGGTTGCCCCACCCCCCACACGTGCCCTGACTGGGGACAGGGATCGAGCCTGCAACCGAGTTACGTGCCGATGCTCTAACCGCTGAGCCAAACAGGCTAGGGCCAGAATGTCGCTTGTAAAGGGTGGTTTGAGTTGTGCATGGGTCTGAATGGGAAGAAGCAGGAACATTAAGAGCAGCATCTACAGACCTGCAAAGGGCACCACCCTAAGGCGCCGAGGGAGGCGTGAACAGAGAAGATGGAAGGCAGTTCATAAATCATCGCCAGCGAAAGAAGCCCTTGACAGCCCATGACGATGGCGAAAGGGCATTTCCTGGCACGTCTCCGGAAGGCCAACGTGTTCTGAATGTGTTTCTTTTTTCTTTTTTAATATATTTTATTGATTTTTTACAGAGAGGAAGGGAGAGGGATAGAGAGTTAGAAACATCGATGAGAAAGAAACATCGACCAGCTGCCTCCTGCACATCTCCCACTGGGGATGTGCCCGCAACCCAGGTACATGCCCTTGACCGGAATTGAACCTGGGACCTTTCAGTCCGCAGGCCGACGCTCTATCCACTGAGCCAAACCGGTTTCGGCTGAATGTGTTTCTTAATCGCGCGTGAATATCTTTAAGCAGCTTTGTGGTCCACGGTAACTTGAGCCTGAAACCCAACAGGGATTTAGGGACTATCTCCCGATGCGTTGTATCACTACACGGAGCTGAGCCAGTAGCAAGGCTGTGGAGGGAGCTCCCTCATCATCCCTGGGGCGGAGGGCCGGCAATTCCTAGAACTGCTGCTCTTTCTTTAAACGAAAACTCCCTCCCCTGGTCAAACAACAACAACAAACTACCCTGACAATTTGTCACCTGGTGTCTCTACTTGCTGCTAGAATAGTTAAAGGGCTGATTAAAATGATGTAATCCCACACATTCTACGCCCACCCGCCGCTATAACATATTGTATGACGGCCATCGAGGTAGCTGACTTACTGTTGTTTTAGAATCAACTTTCTGCCCGTTAACCATATGTGCTTGCTGGGAGCCAGTCCATCCTCGCTGCTTGACACAGTTGCTGCAGGGAAGAAACATCTGCACAGCATACTGTTCTTAATATGTTTGCTCCCCTTCTTGGGTTTTAACCAAGGTCACCTCTCCGAGAAAGGTTGTTTCCCCAGGTAGGGATTTTTCCCTAAAGTTAGGGAGGGAATAAAACCCCTTAACTAAGTGCCAGGTGGATAGTTAATCACTTTAACTACAAACAATTACGCTTAAGCTACATAATCTTTACTCCCTGGAATGGAGATAAGAAACGCCCTAACCTTTGCAATAGAAATTGACAGGATTAAAATCGACTGGTATAAATACAGATGTAACAAGACAATAAACATCAGTTCCTAAACAGAACTTGGGCAGAACTTCGCTAGAGTTCCTGGCTAGAGATCCTGGCTAGGCTGCTGATCAACTGAAGGCTGTCTCCGTGTCCTTCCTTCTTCGCCGACTCCGTCCACACCTTTGGGGCCCCCTGGACCTGCTGGGGTTGGACCCCAGCATGTGCTGGTCTCTTTTCTCGCCGGTTCCCTCACTCCTCTGACCTGCTCCAGGGCGGCCCTTCAGGTCACGGACACACCTGCGAACTTGCTTGTTCAGGAATGTTCCCGTGTAAATGCCCCGCCTGCATCCGTGAGACGTGTCAGGTTTCTAAGAGCATTTTTAAAAAAATAATTGAAGTCCAAGGTCATAAAATCCTAATTTCTTGATTGCCTATCCCATAGATGCTTTATAATTTGTTAGAGAATTACTTTATGTTAATTTATATAAGGATTCCAAGGTGGATGTAAGGCGTATGCACCAACAGGCCGCTTGAAGGACTGTGATGCGAGGATCGCTGCTGCTAGAATAGAATTGTTTTATAAGTCGCGGCGTGAGAGTTTGCCAACTGCGTGGAGTTTGTGAAGGACAGTATTTTTCCTGTTTATTTTATAGTCTATTTTGTTTCACTCTTTTTTTTTTTCAAGTGTGCTGACCCATCAAGAGGAAAGAGCTCGACAAATTCTCTTGAACGAAAGATAAGGTGCCTGGAAAAACAGAGAAAAGAGGTAATTTTGAGTTGAATCAACATGCGCCGTGGATTGAGGCTGAGAATAACACAGGAGTGTATCACCCGGGTGCACCTTTCATTTTGTGACGGGGTCACAGTCACTACCTCTAGGGCAGTGACGGCGAACCTTTTGAGCTCGGCGTGTCAGCATTTTGAAAAACCCTAACTTAACTCTGGTGCCGTGTCACATATAGAAATTTTTTGATCTTTGCAACCATAGTAAAACAAAGACTTATATTTTTGATATTTATTTTATATATTTAAATGCCATTTAACAAAGAAAAATCAACCAAGAAAACGAGTTCGAGTGTCATAGGTTCGCCATCACTGCTCTAGGGGCTGGACTTCATTAGTGTGAGAGCAAGTGCTTTTCTTAGTCACTTACTTATCTCCTACTTGCTCTCTCAGTACAAATGAATGACAGTCATAAATCCCAGGATGATAATCTTAATTTTCTTTAAACTTAGAGCTTAGCACCTGTACCCTGTGTCCTCGCAACCTGACACACTGTCCCAGACTTTAAATATAGCTGGCCTAGGTGCTACGACTTCGTGAGCTGGGCGTCCGACTGACGGGGGTTGAGGGTGGTACCATACAGAACGTTTGCTTCTAAGGTGTCATCGGGAATGTGACGGGTGCTGTGTTTTTGAGTTCTGAATTTCTGAGTTTAATGAAGGTTAGAACCTCTTCATTCTTCTCTGCCGGGGTTCTTGTTCCAGCATCAAGAAGGGTTCAGGAAATCTGGAGAAGGCTGTGCGTAGGTTAAATAGTCCAGAGACGAAGCATCATTTTGAAAGGCATTTGGGGGTCAGAGGAGCTTAGCTAAAGGAGCTAAGTTCTAAGGTCTAAGGTCTTAAAGTCTAAGGTCTTCTCATCTTAGGACCCCATGCTTTTTATTAACACAAATTGTCCTGAGGCGAGGCAGAGGTATACCCTTCAAAGGGTCAGGGTTTCCTACAGAGTCCATTGTCAGAATGGGGGAATTAGCCTACGGCTGTTCAGGTGTTTGGCCAGTAGGAGGCAATAACATGTAGATTAAGATGCCCTGAGCCAGTGGTCGGCAAACTGCGGCTTGGCAAACCAAACCGAGGCTCGCGAGCCACATGCGGCTCTTTGGCCCCTTGAGTGTGGCTCTTCCACAAAATACCGACTTCTGCGCATGGGGCACGAAGTTTCAATCGCACTGTACGTGCTTGCCCCCACGTGGTATTTTGTGGAAGAGCCACACTCAAGGGGCCAAAGAGCCACATGTGGCTCGAGAGCCGTGGTTTGCCGACCACGGCCCTGAGCTGTCTGGCAGCCAAGTAATCATCCCTTTTCAGGTTTGGGGAAATGCCATCAGCCATTCCCAGATGCAGCCCTGCTGTTATGCTGGAATTGGTGTCCGGCACTTCTCAACGGGGGAAGAGGTGAAAAAAGTAGCAAGTGTAGCACCGTGTATGTTGTCGATTCTGTAATTGCTCCTCTAAACTGTTCTGTGTATGACATCCTTCCTGTTGCTCCTCCGTGCCCTCTACTCCCTGTGGTGCTGCATATAATACCGAGCCCCCCAGAAATCCCTGAGCCACAGCGAGGCATGTTACCGTGGCTACCATGGCACAGAAGGTCGATCCCTAAATGCCAAGAGTTCAGCTGTATACTCTCACAATAAGCACCCACCTGTGTTCCCAGCATAAGAATCACCTTGTAGCTGCCATTCTGGATTAGATGGTTTGATTTGCAATCAGGAGAAAGTCATGCTACTTTTCAGCCATTGTGGCTGCCTTCTGCCTGGATGTCTGCTGGTGGTTGTTAGAGTTTCTCTACATCGGGAATTTGCACACTCCCGTTACAAGGAAACTAAAACACAGGCCATAGTGTCTGTTCCTTCCTTCTATGTAGCACATAGTTGTGTGTTTTTTTAAAACTTTCAAACTGCTTGCCACCTAAATTATTTCTAAATATTGTCTTATGACAAAACTATTATTCCTTGAAAATCTATATTTTTCAAAAACTCAATAGTATCCATTTGTTGATCCATATTAAAAAATCATGTGTGGATTTTTAAAAAGCCCATTATTGCAAGCAAATGATACTCAGTTAATGGGTTTGGAATTTGTTCGTATAACTCTGCTTTTAAAAAAGCTGGGAGGAAGATTTCATTATAATCATCAATATAAGCACATAGAAACATAGGGAAAGGTTTGAAAAAAGACCTTTCATATTTTCGTGAATCTTACAGAAAACCATCAGTACTTAGACATTTTTACCAGATTCTGGTTGGATTAAACAAAGATAAAAATTCACGAAACTAAGCCAAGCTAACGGTGCTAATAACATGGTCGGTGGACTGGCCCAGACACGCCGACGGCGACAGCGTTTCGAGAACACCGCCTTCCCCCGGGTTTCCAAAACCTCAGCCACCTCACACGCGACTTCCTTCTGGCCAGACGTCCACATGGGCAGACCCTTTGCTGACTCACCACGTGTTCACGGTTGCAGCTCCTAGAGGTGAACCGGCAGTGGGACCAGCAGTTCCGAAGCATGAAGGAGCTGTACGCCGGGAAGGTAAGCGCCTGCCTGTCCGGGATCTGCTTCCAGTCAATCACCGGGGGAGCCAATCGGGGGTGCTGGGATCCCAGGGGCGGGACTGGTGCAGAGCCAGCAGCTGAAGGAGGGATGCTGAGGCACGGCTGCCCCTGGGCCCTGGAGGTGAAGGCCCGCTGTCCGTGCCCGGTCTTGGCAATGGCTCACATCCCCTCTGGAGCCATCGCGGGAGTCCTCACGCACATGGATGGGGTGCGTGGGCACCTGGCCCAGGTGATAGAACCAGGGCTACAGACACGCAGGTCACCTGTGGGTGAGGTCGGTCTCAGGTGCACCCTGTCACGCCAGGCCAGCTCTCCGATTCCCTTACTGGTTGCCATGGCGACCCTGCACAGGGACACAGTGGCCCCAGGGGAGGCGACAGAATGGGGCGTCCCCTCTTCTCGCTAAAGCAGGTTCTCTCTCAAGCAGCGCTTGCTTTGCTGTCAAAAACTTTTTTTGGAGAAAATATCTTTTAAGAGGTCCAAGTCAATGTAGAGTTTAACATCCTCCCACAGCACAGAGAGGAAGGGAGTGAAGCCCCTGATAACTAGAGTGCAGAACCCGACCCGAGAGCACAGTGCGGGCGGGCAGGCCCATGCGGTCCTGAGTCCGGGAAAGCGTGGGGGCCGCCACACTAAAGGACACGATCTGAGCATGTTTACGCTGCGTCCACGATCTGAGCATGTTTACGCTGCGTCCGAGCGGCTGGCGGGAGCGTGATGGGGTTGGGAACGCACGGGGTTGGGAACGCACGGGGTTGGGAACGCACGGGGTTGGGGAGGTGCCATTCGCCCTCCCGCCGGGGAGCACCTGCCCTGCGGCCTCTCACTGCCGTCCGCACTCAGGGCTACAGTGGCCTGTGCAGGTCAGGCTGCCGGTTAGACGGGGCAGCGTTCCTCCAGGCGCAGACACCTCTGCCCCGCTGGCCACTCCTGGACATTTGGGGGTGGAAGGCCAGGCCCAGAGGCCCCGTCTAAGCTCTAACTGTGCCCTGGGAGGTGGTGTGGTTGGAGCCAGGAGGGAGGCTGGGGCTGTGGTCGGGGACAGGCCTCTTGACATGCAAATGCCCCGGCCTTGGTCAGGGCGTGGGATGGACCCTGCCTGGGACCTCCAGGAGCGGGGCCTGGCTGTCCCTTATCCGCTAGCTGAGAAGACCCGGGGGTGTGGGCTCCAGTGGGGGCAAGACGGGGGGCTGTAACCTCTGTGCCGACCTCCCCAGCTTGCAGAGCTGCAGACGAAGCTGGAGGCCACAGAGCGAATCCTCAGCGGCCTGGAGAAGGGACGACCAGCGAGCCCCAGGGCCAGCACCGGGCCCGCGGACCTGGCCCAGGAGCAGCAGCACAGAGAGGAGGTGGGCGGGGCCAGGGTGACCTAGCCCAGGGGCTGAGGACATGGAGCGGGGACAAGTGTGAGGGAGGACAGTGATGCAAGTCACAGGGCCACAGACGGGCTCTTCTCAGGACCCAGAGGAAGGACAAGGCCACATCCTCTGTCTGCAAATGGACAGGTGGACCCTGAGCCACGGAGCTGGGGGCATCTTTCTGGGGCATTTCAGCCTCAAAAAAATTCAGCTTTTTCTTTCTTCTTTTCTTCCTTTTTTTTTTTTTTTTACTCATATTTAACAATAATATGACAATACCTTGTATTGGTACAGCTGTTTTTCAGTTTACAGAGAGCTTTACAAATAGGTATTATTTTTTAAAATATATTTTTACTGGTTTCAGAGAGAGGAAGGGAGAGGGAGAGGGCGAGGGAGAGAGAGAGAGAGAGAGAGAGGGAGAGAGAGAGAGAGAGAAACATCAATGATGAGAGAGACTCATTGATCAGCTGCCTCCTGCACACCCCACACTGGGGGATCAAGCCCACAACCCGGGCATGTGCCCTGACCGGGAATCGAACCATGACCTCCTGGTTCATAGGTCAACGCTCAACCCCTGAGCCACACTGGCCGAGCCAAATAGGTACTATTTTTGAAATCAGAAAAATGTAACATTTTGGGAAGTCCCTCACCCTCCTTATCGCATCTGGCATTCTCAGCTCACCTGGGAAGAAGGCGTTATTTCTGCCCTTTGCAAGCTGAGAAAGCTGAGCTGTGCAGAGGTCAGGCGACAGGCGGGTGATGGTCGCTTAGACCTGGGCGCAGGAACTAGCTCATTCGCGGGCCTGTCACCAAGTGAGATCCGGGACTCTGATGTCTTGTCTGAGGGCACACAGCTCCCCTGCATGAAGGATAAGAGAAGGGTTTCTTCGATGCCAACCCGCCCTCCACCAGGGAGCGGGCTCCAGTGGGATGGGTGCCCTGAGAGTCCCTGGCCTGGCTGTGTGGGAGTCCGAGTCTGCCTGCTGGTCAGTCGATCATCGGAACGGCGCTGACTTGGTTTTCTCGCTCTTCCCTTCAGAAGGAAAAGCAGACCCTGAGCGAAGAAGTACACGCGTTGAAGAAAGAAAACAAGCTGTTGAAGGAGAACAATGCTGCCATGAGCAGGAGGAGGGAACATTATGAATGTGAAATCAAACGCCTTAACAAGGTACCAGGCAGGCCGGGCTGTGTGAGGGCCCCTCCTGGCGAGGCCCACTTGGCCCGCGCTGCAGGGGCTCCCGGGCCCGGGCACAGGGGCGTCTCTGTGACATTGCACATCTCTCCTCCCGGCGTGGGTCAGCGGGCTTGGCCACGGAGGCTTCGGGCATTCCTGTCCCTGCAAAGACTCCTCATGGAAAACAAATGAGGAGGAAATCTGGAGGAGAGGCAGGGCGGTGTTTAGTTGGCAGAGCCACAGAGCAAGCAGGTGTTGTGAGCAGCTGCCTGTTTCTGGGTCAACCACAGGAAGCAGGCTGCTCTCAGCACCATCGTCAGGACTCTGGCGTGAGGCTGATGAGGTAGGGGGTGCGTGTGTGTGTGTGTGTGTGTGTGTTTTATGGGGTAAGAGCTTAATTTTCAGGGGGAAAGGATCAATGAAAAAATGAAATGCTTTGCTGTTGACTTTTCCAAGGGCCATGTCGTATGCGGACCAGCAGCCCTTGCAGTCCATGGTTAAGTTGAGACACACATCTCTCAAAACACTAGAAATTGACCAAAATCATAGAGATCGTCTTCCCGAACAGGAGTGGTGGTTGGCCCTGAAAATGCCTGTATTGCGGACTGTGTGTTTCCTGCAGCGGTTAACTGTGACCGGGGGTGTCATTTAAAGCGGCGGTCGCCAACCGGTGGTCCGTGGACCACTGGTGGTCCATGAGGTCCGAAAGGTTGGCGACCACTGATGTAAAGTTGGGAGTTAATACGGGCCCGTATCATTAACAGAGCACACACTGGGCGGTGACCTGCTTATTGTCCGAGTCTCCACGCAAACAGGAAGGGGCACTTCCAGAGCCACGGGAGCTCATCCCTCTGTGTTTCTCTAGCACAGTGGTTCTCAACCTTCCTAATGCCGTGACCCTTTCATACAGTTCCTCCTGTTGTGGTGACCCCCAACCATAACATTATTCTCCTTGCTACTTCATCACTGTCATGTTGCTACTGTTATGAATCGTCATGTAAATATCTGATATGCAGGATGTATTTTCATTGTTACAAATCGAACATAATTAAAGCATAGTGATTAATCACAAAAACAATATGTAATTATGTATGTGTTTTCCGATGGTCTTGGGCGACCCCTGTGAAAGGGTGATGTCAATGTCATTTTTCAGGAAGTTGTAAGAGAAATAGAGTTTTCTTCTTCCTCCAAGAAGAATTGTTTGTTAAAATGTGTTGCTTAGCTGCATAGTTCTAGGAAATGTCATAATAGTTACAATTTTTAAAAATGTGTTAGTAAGGCCCTGGCTGGTTTTGCACAGTGTCCGCGGGCGCTAAGGCGCTCCGTGATGAGTTCCTAGGCTGGCCACACATAGGCGAGCCCACATATTTGTTTTCTTTCCGGCCTTTATGACCTCATCGCAGTGATGCAGGCTGGTGGGGTGCTGATAGCGTCATCACGAGGGCATCACTGAAGCTGCTAAAGCAGCGGTTCTCAACCTGTGGGTCCCGACCCCTTTGGGGGTCGAACGACCCTTTCACAGGGGTCGCCTAGGACCATCGGAAAACACATCTATAATTACATATTGTTTTTGTGATTCATCACTATGCTTTAATTATGTTCAATTTGAAACAATGAAAATCCATCCTGCATATCAGATATTTACATGACGATTCATAACAGTAGCAACATGACAGTGATTAAGTAGCAACGAAAATAATTTTATGGTTGGGGGTCACCACAACATGAGGAAATGCATTAAAGGGTCGTGGCATTAGTTGGGAACCACTGGTCTAGAGAAACACAGAGGGATGAGCTCCCGAGGCTCTGAGGTGCCCCTTCCTGTTTGCGTGGAGATCGGACAATAAGCAGGTCACCGCCCAGTGTGCGTGCCGAGTCCACACCAGCGGGAGGGATGCTCCGTCACCATAGTGGGCGTCTGTTCTAGTAAACGCATCATGAGCCAGAGGCCCTCAGAACAGGCGCTGTCACTCATTGGCATGATCAGTCAAACGGACACGTTCGAGTGCCATGGGCTGCTGAGCAAGGATGCGAATCCTGTTGGCAAACATAACTGTCTTATTTCCTTCACCTCCTCACCCCGGGGAGACGCCACGCTGTACTGAATGCCAGGAAAGCGGAGGCCTTCTCTGCCCCCCGCGGGCCCCTGGGCACCTTCCCAGGGAGCAGGGTGCTGCGGCGAGGCCGGGCGGGCTGCTGCGGAGGGCAGGGACGGGTGGTGACTCCGCGTGTCCCTCTCTCCCACGAGGACACGGCGATCTAGCAGAATATTCCTCAGAATGACATCTGGCCCAGCAGCATCAGCTCTGGGGGGGCAGGGTCTCAGGTCTCAGGCCCAACCTGCTGACCCAGGGTCTCTGGAGACAGCGCCCAGGGGCGGGCACGTCTGCTGCCCCGCGGGGGAAGCTGTCCCTCAATTCTGATCGTTATTTGACTGAAGCAGAGACTCTAGAGCAGTGGTTCTCAACCTTCTGGCCCTTTAAATACAGTTCCTCATGTTGTGACCCCCAAACCATAAAATTATTTTCGTTGCTACTTCATAACTGTAATGTTGCTACTGTTATGAATCGTCATGTAAATATCTGATATGCGGGATGGTCTTAGGCGACCCCTGTGAAAGGGTCATTCGACCGCCAAAGGGGTCGCGACCCACAGGTTGAGAACCGCTGCTCTAGAGAAAGACAGAGCCTAGAGAAGGAGCACAGATATGCCGTCCTTTCATGGCGGGCTAGGTGAAGGGGCTGCGACAGCAAAGCCTTCAGAGTAGCAATGAGGGTTGACTAACAAGCATCATCATGGAGAAAAGACGTAAGTGCCCAGGCCAGGAAACCCGAAGTCATTCAGTCATGAGAGCGGCATCCAAGAGGGAACGCTGCCTTTGGGTGCCGGGGAGACGACCACGGTAACCGTCACAGAGAAATGCAGACCATGTGCCTCTCAGGTCAACAATGTGCTTGTCCTGCAACACAGGCTCTTCAGGAGGCCCTGAAGGTCGAGTGCTCTCCGCTTCCCGAGGACCGTCTGGGGGGGCCTGAGGCGGGGTGCGGGCACGAGGACATGAGGACAGAGATGGAGGTGCTCAAACAGCAGGTGAGAGGCTGCAGGGGCGTGAGCACATGGAGAGGCTGGGCCCGGGGGTCCCGGCGCCCCTCCGGGCACCTGTGAGAGTCCGCTGTTCAGTGAGTCAGAGAGAATCGGCTCATTTCAAAGCTTCTCCGTAGAATCCAGAACACGGCACCTCAGGCTGTTAGCAGAAGGCCCGAGCGTCGGATGGGTTCAGAGCCTTGTCCCAGGTCACACCACGACCCTCCTGGCGCGATGCTGTGAGTTTCAGGGAGGCCTGCTTTATTCTGCAAACAGCGTTAACTGGATCTCGGGCCGTCTCGTCTCAGACAACGGGAGCAGCTGGGCTGTGGTTTTGCAGCTTTTGGCTTCCGGGCTTTTGAACAACGAGGGTGGTTTTAAAGGGAATGATACTCCACACTGATCACATCACCGAGGGGCTAGACCTGCTCCTCTGCCCTCACACAGGCCCCGCCTCCTCCCCACTCACCTAGCCCCATTCATGGCTGCTGAGCCTTAAACATTAATATGTACACCTACATGGGAGTCTACATGAGTTGTTTAGTTTCTTCCTCTCTCGTCGATTACATTTTGTAGTATTACAGACTTAAACTTGACGAACCACCAGTTAAAACTCATTGCCTGTTGGGGATGGAGGTATCATGTGCATGAGTGTTAACAAAGCTCTAACGACCAGGTTCCCATATGCGTTGTAATTTAAGTCATGGTCTGGGAGGAACCCCTTTGCCTCATTCCCGAGGCTTCGTTTGCTGTTTCTGCAGCTCCACGTACTAGCCGTCCAGCCATTCGTCAGCACCGTGCCAATGAAACACAACAACAATTAAGTCCGCTTTTCTCTTTGGCTTGCTTAGTTTTCTGGAATATTTGGAGCATCTCGGGAGAGCTGTTCCACTGAAATATTGCTACGTTTCCTTTTCTGTAATTTACCTCCAAAATCGCCTGTGGAAACCTTTGGATGGTCATGCTTTGATTCTCCACATAGGAGACTTCCGTCTCCAGGCTGGGCTCACCTTGTCACTTACGTTTGCACACAGCATGTCAACACTTAGTGTCTCGGTGGTTGTTA